AGCTAATCAGAACTACCAGAGGGGAAGAGATTACAGACAGGGCGGAGAGGGGAGTAACTCACAGAAATACAGACATCAGAACAGATTTTCATTTATTTACTCATTTATCACAGTGAGTCACAGGCTTTGAGTTCATGAGTCTGCATTAGCCTTGCAGGATTTTGGGACGCAATCTCCAAAAATCTCAGAAGTGAACAGGTCACAGCCACGTGCCACCTCAGGAAGGAGAAAATCAGCAGTTTGGGGCTGGGCTGGGGAAGGCTGATATTGCTTTGCCTGTTGGATTGTAAGAAACCACTAATCTTCCCTCGGCAGCCTCCTAATCTCTCCGGGAGCCCAGATGCTTTATCTGGAACTTGCTCAGTGGAGAGCAGCCCAGGTTGCTGGCACGGGGGTGGATTCCAGCGGCTCTGGGAGACAGGGAATGACACCCAGGGGAGCGGAGGTGCCCCAGGGTGCCCCGTGCTGTCCCTGCCCTCCGAAGCCAGGGTGGTGATGGACAGCACCAATGCCAAACTTCAGGTGTTTGTTACTTGAGTGAGCAGCTCCAGAACCAGCCAGGCTCCCAGTGCCAGGGCTGAGCCCTTCTGCTCCTCCAAACACCTCTGGGCACACTCAACTCACCTCTGTGTGCTTAGACACCGAAACAAAACACCAGCACTTCAGGGGCTTCTTTCCCTTCCCATTTCCCCCCCCAAAATTAATTGCAAGAAGCCAAGAGTGTTCTTTCCTCCAGGCAGGGAATGTCTCATTTCAGGCTTTCCTTCTTCTCCCTGGTTCATCCCAGCTCTCCAGAAGTGAGGAGAGACTCCCACACCTGAACAGCAGCCCCAGACACTGCCCTGGGCTGGCCCCAAGGTCTCCAGAGGGAACATTGATCACAGCAGCCTCGGGATGTCCCACAGGGCTCTACCTGCACGGAGCATTTCCTCCGGCATCCCCAGCCCACGCTGCCAAACCAGGAACATATTTTTAAATCAGAGGAGGAAATGGTGTCTTTGTGTCAGGCAAGTGGAAGAAATCCAGGACCAAGAGACTGCAGAGCCTTTCCACTTCAGACAGCAGGTGCTCTCCAAGATGTGGTTATGGCAACAAAATAAATGATGGATAATTGCTTTTGTGACAACTTGCCAATTAAATTAGACTCAGCAGAATAACATAATGACAATTTGTTATGCTCTGGTGGGCACTAACACACCAATCATAATTAAATGCTATGACTGAAATAGAATGCTGCTGTACACAGGAATATATAACCCCAATTCCCTCCCAGTGAAACATTATAGGTTCAGACTTGATTTCAATTTCTGGAGGATAATAGCATTAGCGCACATCAGAATGAGCCTGCAATATGCAGGGAGGCAGCAGCAGCACAGGGACAGACAGAGCCAAGGGCAGCCGAGCCCGGGGCTCCTGCAGGGACCCCCAGCAGTGGGGGACAGGCACCCCAAATCACTGCTGAGCCCGGGGCAGCAGCTGGGGGAGTGACACTGGCCCCGGGGAGCAGCCCCCAAGGCCAGAGCTCCTCGGGATGGGGCACAGGGGTTCCTTGGGGTGCACTCCCTATTCTGCCAGGCTGAGCTGTGGGACACGACACAGCCTGACCTTCCTGCAATAATTATCAAAATGTTCATTAAAGCACTGCTGTGCCCAAGAGTGAGCTCACCCCAGAGCTGGGATCCCTCAGGGACTCAGCCCCACCAGCTGACCTGGCCTGGCTGCTGTCACTGGGTCAGAAATGACCAACAAGGGGGTCAGGTCCTGCCAGGACTGATACATGTGCTGGTAAAACAGCAGCAGATTCTCCAGCCACTGCTCTCCCTGGTTTGCTCTGACCCTCCTGCCCTGCACCTTGCACATCCCAGAGCTCTCAGGAGTTGCTGTGCCATGGACATTGCTGGTGCTGCAAAGAGCACCAATCCCAATACATAAAAAAGCCCCGGTTTAGGACCAGAAGCAGGCAGGTGGCAGAACTGACACTGCCCAGGCCTTGCAAAGCAGGAGCCACTTCTGTGCCATCCCCTCAGCAGTGTGGGGACACTGAGGCAGCACCCTGCTCTGATTCCACGTTAATTTTCCTACCAGATACAGATTTCTGCACTATTCCAAAGCTCAAAACCGGGCAGGTTTGAAGACCAAATGAGTGTGTGCAGGCAGGGTTGGGCACAGGCAAATCCCAGAGGATTCCACAGAGTGGCAACACCCACAATTTTATATCTTGTTTGGAGCCACGTTCTTTAAACATTAAACCCTTTATTATCTGCCTCGGTGAAGCTTGGCATTGCAAGGTCAGATCACCTGTTTTTCCAGCAAAGCTGATGAATCACTTTGGCTGCTCCAGACATTAGACCTGATCCTATTAAATCCTCAGCTCCCCTGCCCTCAACACATTCCAACAGATAATCCACGGTCCAGGAACACGTGAAGGGGCAGGGCAGGGCTCTGGAAGCAGCTGCCTGTGGGTTAAAACAGGGCCCAAGCTCAGAGCCCTGCCCTGCAGCCCTGGGCAGGAGGTGTTTGTTCCAGCAGGACACCTGCAGGAATGCTGCACCATCCCTGGAGATTGCTCCAGTCACCCACTGCACCAATGCACCTGCATCCTGCCACGGGGCAGGCAGCTCTGCACCCCGAAACTCTCAGGTGAAGCCCACGATTTTAGGAACTGGCCTTGGAAAACCTCAGAAAGCCTTCAGCCTGGCTGGCAGAGCTGGGGAAGGCGTCACTGCCCGCGCTTGCCTCGCCTCTGAAGCCGCAGAAATTTCGGCTCTGCGTACCCGGTATTTGGCATTTTCTGTCACTTAGAATGGGCTGGCAATCAACGACAGGAGCTGCCACACGCAGCGCTCACCCCGCGGGAGGAAAGTCGGGAATTTATCCCAGGAAAGGTCACAGGGATTCTCTAGGATGGGGAGGCAGCGAAAAAGCGCTCCGAGGCTGCGGGGACACTCCGGGACCGCAGGAGCCGTCCTTGGGCCAGGGTCAGAGCCCTGGAAATGCCGGGAGCATCCTTTACCTTCCCCAGGGCAGGAATCCCCGCAGCCCAGGGCTCTCCATCCATCACCGCAATCCCCCGGTGCATCCCCCGCTCCCTCCCAGGGGAGCGGCGATGCCTTTTCAGATATTTCCCGGGGGAAGCTCTGAGTGGCACCAGGCGTGGGGAGCCCTGCGGGGCTCGGTGCCCGCACACCCCGGGCAGGGCTGGGGAGGAGCCGCGGCCCCGCCGGTACCGGAGAGCGGAGCGCGGCTCCCACCTAGCGGGGAGCGCCGGGGCACCGGGGGCCGCTCGGATCCTCTCCTGCTGCCGGGGAAACTGCCCGGCACTAACAAACCACCCCCGGCTGCTGCCCAGAGCTGCTTCTTTAAATTCTCTCACTTACAGCAGGTCCCGACATCAGAATCGCCCTCCCAGCCCGGCAAACGCACGCATCAAAAGCTGTTCAGACTCACTGGTTTAACTGGTTTTATCTGAATTGCACCAAATGCTGCGGTTCGCATCCCTTATCCCGTGGTTCACCCACCAGACACAACAAATCCACGGTGCTGAACGTTCCAACTTCTCCATCACCCCCAGCCTCTGCCCTGGCAGCTTCCAGCAGGGAATTCCCACATTCACACCGCGCCAAGACTCCCGTTCTCCCTCCCTCTCCCTCCCCTCCACTCAAACAAAGGAATCCCGCACAGATTTCCAGTTTCTCCCGCACGTTCGGCCACGTACCTGTGTGAGAATGTCGGGGTGCACCGGGCGGTGAAGCACAAACTGCTGGGGCAAGGTGTGGAGCTCACACAGCCGCACGCTCCCAAGGGATCCCAACCTTCCCTTCCTGCCCTTCCCGAGCCGCGGTTCGGCTCCCTGGGCACGAGGCAATCACCCCAAACCCTCCCAGCTGTGCCCACGGTAATTAATGACCTGTGCCCATGGTAATTAACGACCTGCAGCTGATCACCATCAACTGCCGGGTGTTCCAGGGCAGGAAAAGCCCCTGGGGGTCTCTCAGTGCTCCCCCCCAGGCCACAGGTGAGCCCAGGGCAAAGCCAAGGTTAGCCCGCTTAGGAAAGTTGGTCCAGCTGGGAGGGATCTGCCCCCAGAGTCTCCCTTTGTGACTTTTAACACAAAATGAAAACAATTCCAACTTTCTGCTCACCTGCTCTGCACAGCAACTCGTTCAGGCTCTGGGAGGGCTCTAAATTCTGTCTTTATTGCTCAATCTGGACATGGATCAGTGCTGAAACAGAGGGAGTTTTGCTCTTTGTAACAAAACCCTGCATTCCTCTGGAGCTACAAGAGCAGAACTTGTAAAGTTTGACTTTCCAAGGACAACTGAGTAATTCTGCTGCAGTCACATCACTATCAGGAGTGAACCAAGGCACAGAAACCAAACCTTTCACTGCCTTTCACTGCCACTGAGCTTTCCTGCAGCACTAAACTGGGCAGGGAGGGAGAGGTTAGACATCATTTACACCTGTTAGAGGGGGTGGTGGCAGTCTGGGATTTAAAAAATAACAAACAAAAGAAAAACTCAATAAAATCACCAAGAAAAGAGACAAAACAAACTGTTTTTCACACAGCCCAAGCCAAAATGTTTAATGAAAGATCAGCCAGTCACTGGATTTGCAGGCACGGGAAGAACTCCCTCCTAATCCCAGCAAGACTGGTTGTTATTTTTTGCCAGGCCAGGTTCCCAGTGACTGTTTCCTAAGCAGCGTCACCTTTCTCTCAGCAAAGAGCTGGAAAATCCCATTTTCACACCTCAAAGGTGACCAATTCCATCAGGAGTCACTAAAAAGCTGCAAAGCTCCCAGTTTTCTCATCCTGCTCTGGATTTAAGCAAATGATGGAATGGGAAGAGCACATTATACCATTCTATAAATAGCACTTTCCTCAATCAGCTATAAAAAGATGACACTTCAGACAGCTGCTGGAATACATCAAACAGGATCTGCCATTCCCCCAGCAGGAAACATCTTCACTACTGCAAATGAGACACATGAACAGGCAGAACTTCCAGTTTTTAAAGAAAACGTTTTAATTTTACACTCGATATTTTCCAAGTTGATTTCAAAAAACAGTCATGAACCCTAAAAAAAAAAAATATTATCTGTGACTTTATCCATGTGGAGCTGGACAGAGGGGAACATGTGTGACATGGAGGGCACCAGGATGCTGTTCCCTCAGGGAAATGTCCCCAAAGAGGGCTGGAGGTTGGCTCCTGGCAGGTGACACAGCTCAGCAGGGCTGTCAGGAGGGATGGGGATGCTCCTTGTGTGTCCCTGCCAGCTCTGGTGGCTGCTCCTGCCTGTCCTTCCTCTTCTCCTGCAGCTCCTCCAGAACACTTTGGAGCTGCAGCTGCAAGGCAGGATCCCTGGATCCAGCACTCTGCTGCTCCTGCTGGGACACCTGCAGGGAAGGACAGAAAAAAAAATCACATTGAAACAGGGTGGAAAAAGCTTCTGAAAGGTAACTGAGGAGAGCAACAGCCCTGTGTGTGTCCAAAAAAAATTTAATTCATGTTGAGATTATTATGGAGGCACAACACGGTGTCACCAGGGCAGGACACCCCAGACAGGCTGCCGACCTCCAGCTAAAAAAATAGAAAAATTTAAGATACAACAACAAGTACACAAAGTTTCAAATGCTTTATACAGATACACCATGGATTGTTTGAATGATTACTCAATTTCATCACCAGAAAAACATCTTTTCTGACCCACAAATTCCTTCACCTTGGTCAGACACGTTCATGGCCAAGGGGAAAGTTTTCTCTGCACAGCACAGATATTTTAAGACCATCAGGTGTGTGACTGCTCTGCCGAGGATTTAGTTCAGACCTGCTCAGCATTAAGGGCCTGGGAGTGGAGTTTTCTCCATCCACCAGCCAAGTAGCTCTGTGAATATTTAATACTCACTTTATCTACTCCTCTTCTCTGTAAAATGATCCCACTGGCTAAAAGGGCTTTTCCTGTTTCTTCAAACAATTTCTCCTCTTCAATTTTCCCTTCTTCCTTCAGCTCATTGTATTTCTCAACAAACCTGGATTGCAAAGTTGCTTTTTTACACTCACAAATAACATTCTGATTCACAGACTGAAGGGGAGAAAGGAGCACCCTCAGAAATATTCCTGGTTTAATTACCATCTTACCTCTGGCAAGTAGATTTGAAGTTTAACTGTGTCAGGTCAAAAGGCCTGGGGCCATTGCCATAAACTTGGTAAAATCTCCTGCTCAGGAAAGGAAACAGTTTAGATTCTGCAGCTAAATCAGGAGCAGACAGACAACAGCAGTCAGTTAATTTAGGGTGCAATAAGAGCATGCAAATAAATATTTCTCTTTTTCACAGGAGCCTTTATGAAGACCTGGAAGTGTCCCAGGCCGGGCTGGACATGGGGCTTGGAGCACCCTGGGGCAGTGGGAGGTGTCCCTGCCATGGCACTGGATGAGTTTTAGGGTCCCTTCCAACCCAAACCAGTCTGGGATTCTACAGAGGTTTGTTCCAGCCTTTTAAATTGTATTAATAAATCCAAGTTTATCACCACCAGAGCAGAGTGGGTCTGGAGCTCTGGGCTGGGCAGGGACCTCCCCTTCCCATTGCACAAGAGCCTCCACCACTGTTATAAACACGGGGAAGAGCACAAAACCCACCTCTATTTATTCATAAAACCCACCCCGATTTATTCATAAAAAGCACTCGGATTTACTAATAAAAACCACCCCGATTTATTACAAAAACCCCCAACGTAGTAATTAAAAACACCCCTATTTATTATAAAAACCACCCCGATTTATTCATAAAAAGCACCCCGATTTATCAATGAAAAACACCCCTATTTATTAATATAAACCACCCCGAATTATTAATAAAAACCACCCCGATTTATTCATAAACCCCACCCCGATTTATTCATAAAACCCACCCCGATTTAGTCACAAAAACCACCCCGATTTATTCCAAAAACCGCAAACCACGCAGCAAAGGCTGCCGGCGGTTTTAGGAGCGGTACCGGGAAGGACACCGCGTTCAGGGGACACGGCAGGAGCCCTCCCTGCCCGGTGTCCCGGTGTCCCGGCCGGACTCACGCTCGCACGGTGTCCTCCCGGTAGAAGATGGGCGCGATGGGGTCGCGGGCGCCGCCGCCGCAGCGCGGTCGCGGTACGCGGTACACGGGCTCCCGCAGCGGCGGGAACGCGGCGTACACGTCCAGCCACAGCGGCTTCTCCAGCAGCCCGATGCGCACCAGGTTCCGCGTCCTGCGGGCGACAAGCGGCGGCGGGAGGGGGCTCAGGGGGCGGCGCTCACCGGAGAACCGGGACCCCCGGCTGAACCCCCCCCGCACCGGCTGAACACGCTCCCGATCTTCTGCGTGCGGCTCCCGGCCGTGGCGGCCATGGCGGCGCCGCCGGACGGGCCCCGGAGCCCGGCCCGGTGCTGCCCCACAGGAGAAACCGGAACCGGAAACGGGAGCGGAACCGGAAATGGGAGCGGAACTGGACGGGGCCCGGAGCGGCTGCCAGGGCACGGAGCCGAGTGCCGAGCGGGGCGGGAGGAGGTGTCCAGGCAGCGCCAGCCGATGGCCGAGCCGGGTCGCCCCCATAGGTTTCCCGGTCGCTCTCGGCTCTGTCGCGACAGACGAGACCCGGCCCGGATGTGGCCCGGCACGCTCAGCCCCAGCCCGGGCAGCACCAGCAGTCCCGGGGCTCGTGGGTGCCGTGTCACAGAACCGCGGGATGTCCCGAGGTGGAGCCGCGGCGATGATGGAGTCCCGCTCGTGTCCGTGCACAGACACCGTGACATCCCACCCCGACATCCCACCCCGACATCCCATCCCGAGAGCGCTGTCCGAGCGCTCCCGGAGCCCTGGCAGCCTCGGTGATCCTTGTCAGAGAACCATTAGGGTTGGAAAAAACCTCCAGATTCATCAAGTCCAGCATCTTTTGGCGCTGGGTCTCGCCTGGACGGAGAGGGGACAGTGGGATCAGCATCAGGGGGATCAGTCCCAGCCCTGTCCGGGGCTGCCCCATTGCCAGATCAGACTCTGGGCAGCCCCAGTAGACAGTGACCACCACAGGATCCTAATGTGTGTTTTTAACCTCTGTTTATAAAATGGATTTTTATAAAATCCAGCCAAGCCCTGTGTGAACTCCTTCCCGCAGCCTCTCCTGGTCACTAGGTGCAGCCCTTAGCTTGGGAATGAGCTGCAGGCAAGGGAAACTCATCCCTGCTCCATCTCGCAGCCTGGAGAAGGAAGGGGGCAGTAAATTTCCGTACATTTCCAGGGCAGGCTGGCAGCCAGCAGCTATCCCCGGGCTCGGACATCTCCAGCCCCATCCCCTGCCAGCCCCGGGCTGCTCTCAGCTGCTGCTTTCCTTAAAACGCTGCTCGAAAGCAAAACCCCTGTCCCTGTGCATGAGGGGAATTCCAAACGGAGCTGCTGGAGCTGCTCCAAGGCTTGGGCAGGCCCTGGGCTCTGCAATTCCCCAGGCAGCAGCCGGGCTTTCTCCAGCCTTTTGGTGCTTTTGACATTTAAGGCAAGAACGCCTTGACTTTTTCCAGGCTTTTCTTTCTCAGGGAAGGTTTCTGAGCCACACGTGAGGCTGGAAAAAGCTCCGACCCTGCCAGGAAATGAAGCTGCTCCCGGATAGCTGGGCAGGACAGGTGGATTCTGTGCTATCCCTGCAAGTGAGGGGGATGCTCTGTGTGCTCCCCTGGGGCTGCTTCCTCAGGGATGGGTCATTGGATTCCCGAGGAAATCACTGGGCACTCATTCAGTCCCATCAGGAGCAAACCAGGGCAGATTTGGGGTGTTTGCATCTGAGGGGCACAGCTGGAGCTGGGCTAGAGCTGCCCCTTCCCTCCCCAACCCCCTTTCTTTCTTCTTCCTCCTGTAAAGAGTGAAAAAATACAGAGTGTTAAAAAAATATAGTGTTAAGAGTACAACAGGACTTTATTATAGGAATTACTATTAAACATCTTTAAGAAAAAAATCACTTATGGAAATAAATTCTAAAATAGCCACACTCACAAACGTCACAGATTGGTTTGTTTTGTTCTTTTGAAACCTTTTTGTAGAGAAATGATACAAACATCACTGAGAATTGTACATTTTTATGTAAGAAATGCATTTTGGCTCCCAAGGCGGGTTTGTGGCCTTTCCACTCCTCAGACCTGACTTTTTGTTTTTTACAGGACACAGAAACAACCCCTCCCCATCTCCATTAAAATGATGCTTTGTGCCTCCAAGATATTTTGACACTGCTAGAGAGTGACATCACCCAGAGGCTGTGCCTGGCCTGGGATGTTTAAGGGCAACTTGTTGGGTGGTGGTGGTGGCCCAGCCATGCCCAGGGCCCTGTGCCAGGCCTGGGTGGCCACGGTGCTTCCAGTGCAGGACCCCCAGCAGGGCTGAGCACTGGCACCCACTTGTCCCCTCCCAGCTCACAGCCCCTGGGCCAGGACTGCTCCACCAGCACAGCTTGGCTGGGTTACAGAGGTGACATGTCACTTAAGGAGCAGCCTGAGAAGAGGGACAATGTCTCCCCTTTGCCCTGGATTCTGCTGAGGCCAGCAGTGCAGCAGAACTGACCCGTGGCCCTGTGCCAGCCTCCCCAGGAAAGCTCAACCCATCCCTGCAGCCATGGCACGACCCAGCCCACCCCCAAACCCTGCAGGAGCCAGCCCAGCCCTCCTGCCAGCACCTCGTGCTCTGGGAGAGCAGAATTCCCTTCCCACCCCTTGGTGCTTCCTGTGCTCATGGAAACTTTGCTGGGACCGAAGCCCTCGGTAGCCAAGAGGTGCTGGAATGGTGACAAGCTGATCCACTTCCAAGTTTGATTTTCTTCCAAATATGCAGAGCTGCTTTGGACTGGGAAGGAGTAACAGCAGCCTCCTATGGCCCCCAGGGCCAGCACAGGGCAGGGAAGCAGCCCCTCCTTCTCTTCAGCACTCTCAGAATGGAAGCCCTACCCAGGGACTAAAGGATTTTCTGTTCCCTGATTCACTCTTAGACCCCTGCTCCCTGAGCCAGGTGCTCCTCCAGACCCACATCCTACCCTGGGCAGGGCAGGGCAGCCTGGGGCATCCTGTGCCCTTGCAGCACCTCCTGACAGTTGTGCACACCACCAGGAGCAGGGGTGCTGCCATGGCGTGGGACAGCCAGCGTGGCTTGGGGTGTCCCTAACCTGTCACTGTGCTGCCACCACTCAGGACATGCTCTTCAATCCTTCAAAAGCAAAGGAGAGGACACCAAAACTGGTATGGGCTGGGTGGGAATCCTGCTGCTTTGATTTTAGGAACCCAAAGCTTGCTGGCACCCCAGGGTGCTCCCAGCCCACTGCATCCTGCCCTGGCACCCAAGGACTTGTCTGAGCGCTGGTGCTGCAGGAGAGCTTTGTGCTATGGAGACATCAGCCAGAGCCTGCAGCCCCAGACACCTGGAAGCAGCCCTGGCCCTGGCCAGGAACCAGGAGAAAGTGAAGCTCACGGGATGCCCCCGATCCCCAGCAGGGCTGGAGGGGACGACAGCAGCGCTCAACAGGTGCAGCAGCTGCAGAGCTGGCGGGGGAGGAAATCTTGGCGTCCACTTCAAAGGCACACGGGCTCCGTTGGGATTGAAGAGGAGCCTGCCGGGAGCCAGCGCCTGCAAGGGGGACTTTTGTTACCAAACCCTGCTGTGGAGAGGCAGGGAAAACAGTTGCGTGAGTGTTTGATGGCTGGGGCTCCTGCGTCTGCCGCCTTCACAGCTCCAATCCTGCAACATTTGTGCTGGTTGGCGGGAGCCAAAGTGAAACAGGCACGTCTAGAGCCACCTCCTGCATTTGGCAGGGAGCGTTGTGCCGATAGAGAAGAAAATGTGCTGGCAGGAGCGAATTCTGACTTTACGCTCGTCACTCGTTACTTCCACAGCGAAGGAATTTGTTTGTGTCATTATTTTTAGCCTGACAGCATCCCCGAGAGCTGCAGGATTCCGGCGCTGTGGGCACGAGGAAGGGGCTCTGCTCCTGCCCAGCACCAAACCCAGCAGTGCCCCCAAGCCCTGGTACAAAATCTCTGTGGTGAGAACACTTCCACCAGCCCTGCCAACCCCTGGCTTGGGCTTTGCCTCTTACCTACAGCGGGGGCATCCCTGGAGCTCGCAGACTCCAGGACCACCCCCAAGCACCCCACACCCGGTGGGATGTGTCCTGCTCCATCAGTGAGGGTTAAACTGGTGTGAAATCCAGCCCTTGGTGCTGCCCTGCAGCAGCACAAAGCTTCCCAACTTCAAGGCAGTTGTAGCAATGCCGAAGGCAAAGGTTTAATTCAAAGTGAAACGCCTAGGAAAAGAAGGCCTTTCCTTTATAAACAATTTATATTATTTGACTATTACCTGATCTGAATCTCTGCTCATTACTCCTAGCAATAATAGACAACAGCTGTTAGCTTCCCTTTCTCACGTGGTTTTTGTCCCGGTGTGCGCAGAGTGAAGTTACATCAGACCACTACAGATATGTTCAGGAGTGCTCCAGCCAGGCAGACCCCACGTGTGAATGGATCCTCGTTAGTACCACTGATTTCATTCCTCCTTCCTCAGGCAGGGCTGCTCCTCCCCAGCCTGAGCCGGCTGGCTCTGCTCGCAGCAGCTGCCCGCCTTTTTTTTTTGCCTTTTTTTTTTTCCTTTTTGGCTGATTTGCTGGATAGGAAAAGTTGTTTTCAAACCACTGGTAAGAAAACATTGTGCCTCACTTCGATACTTGTACTTCAGAGGAGTACAGCAGCAGAGGGGGAACAGCCAAAATCTGGGTGATTTGTTGGGTGGGTTTTTCCTCTTTCAGCCATCTCCTGATGAAGCCTCGTGCACGTCCTGTGCCAGCAAGAAACCCCAATTCTGGGACCTGCAGGGAGGGGAAGGGGGAGAAGAGCTCAGCCTCACAGTGCCAGCACCCAGGGCTGCCCCAGCCATGGCACCCTTGGCCACTGATGGGGCTTGTCCCCACCCGGGCACACTCTGGACCCAGCCTAAAGAACGTGGCCCCTCCTCCAGCCAGGCTGGGCCATTCACACCGAAGTGATCATCCATCCCCAGGTGCCTCTCACCGTTTACTGCCCTTCCTTCGGCGTCTCCTCCTCCTCCCGGAGCTGCTGCCGCCGTGCTTGGAAATCTTCATCTGAAAGGCAGAGGCAGGTGGGGGCTGTAGCCACCTCCACACCTGGGCACTGCTGCACCACGGTCCCAGCTCTGGGGAGGAGCCCCAGGGGGAGGCAGCCCAGCTTTCCCCAGGGCAGGGTTTCCTTGCTCAGAGAGGGAATTTCCAGTAGGACCTGGGGAGCTGCTACCACAACACACCTGAGAACACTGGATGGAGGTTTTTGGCCCACAGGAGTATTTCTGCCAGGCGTTCACACCTGAGCCAGGCACCACGGCCATGCCAAGAACAGCACACCCAGCACAGCCTGGCACAGCATTCCTTACCATATGCATGTCCTTCCACGTCATCGAGAAGATTTGCTGTGGAAGCCGCTGTCCCCATCCTGTGCCCTCCGCTAAGGAAAACCAGCTGTGGGGCCAGGATGGCACCAGTCACCCTTCCCAGCCCTTGGGAAGCTCCCAGGAGCACCCAAGTGAGGGCCCCCCCTGCCCCACAGCCCCTTTCAGGATACACCTGATGCTTCAACAAGTGTTTTCTTTTTGATTTCCTCATCTTCGTCTTCTCGGAGAAGGCTCTGGCGAGTTCGAACAGCTTCTTGCGTGTGGCTGGAAGGAAGGAGCTGGGTGAGGGTCTCACCCAAAAACCCTTCCCAAAGCTGCCATGGGCAGTGGGAAGGAGAGGGGCAGGGCCAGGGGTGTGAGAGCCACCCACACCCCAACACTCTGTGGTTTGTGGCAAACCCTGGGTTTGCCAGACTCAGAGAGGGAGACAGGGACACCTTGGTCCCTGGTGGGAGGTGCTGATGTTTTACCGTTTTGCTGGGATGTTCACGACCTTCCTTACCCAGACTGACCCACCCCTCCCAGTGTCCCCAGTGCCTGCAGCCCAGCTGAGGCTGCCCAAGGACCTTGGTCCAGTCGGTGGTGGGAAAAGCAGGCTGTGCCTTCTCAGAGAAACGTTGAGTTTGGGAGAGTGCCAGGTGCCATCTCGCCCTGCCCACCCCGTTCCCAGCTCCCCTCCCGCCCTGCCAGGCTGGAGCCTGCACAGCACTCACATTTCCCCATGTGTTTGAGTTTGTCTCGGAATAAGGCATCGTCGGACACGGCCCCGCCGGCCTCGCTGGTGACAGAGGGAGCCACGTCACCTGCAAGGCAAACATCTGCTCACTGCGACTGTGGGTCTGCTGAGAGGGGGACAAAACACTTTCCACAACCCAATTCCAGCACCAGCGAAGGGCACAGCTGGGTAGAAGCAGGTGGGATGAGGGTGCTGGCACGTGGGGCTGGCTCTGGGTGGGTAACCACAACCCCAGGGCAGGGGGCTGGCAGAACACCCTCACTATGCTCAGTCCCAGCACCAGCACCTCCCTCCAGGGTCAGCAGCCCCAAATTCCCCCAAGCTCTGACTGTGCTCTGGGTATTGGATCGTGCTATCCAGTGGATCAGGGGCAAGCCCAGCTTGGTCAAGGAAGCAGAGACCACCCCCAAAGAGCCATGTCCCTGTTTGCCAGGTTTGCAAGCCCAGCTGGAGCCCTGCCAGGCTGCCCAGGCTCACCCAGCCCTGCACAGAGCCATTGACAGACACCAGCTCTAATTCTGACTCTGGGCAGCTGCTCTGCTCCGAGGTTAATCAGGATTACCAGGGAACAGTCATTATGCCTCCAGGCACAATCCTCTGCTCCAGCCCAGGCACAGGAGGGCAGGGATGGATGGAAGCAGGATGCAGGAACACCTCCACGTGGGGAGGGCAGGAGCACCCATCCCCATGACCCACCAGCTCCTCTCCCACCAGCAGGGAAGGATCAGCCAGTTTCCTCCCTCCACAGACACTCTGGAGGCAGCTGGGCAGAGGGATGGGAATGCAGGGGCTGTGGGGGATCCTGTTGTGGAGACACAATGCTCACACGTGTCTTGGAAGTTACCTGATAATACGGAGGAGAAACCAAAGTCGTTGCTGACAGCAACGCTGGTCGACTTGGATTTTTTTGACTCATATTTCAATCGATCTGAAAAACAAAAAGCACAGTGCCCGCTCGATCAGAGCCTCAAGGCAGAGCACATGGCTCTGCTCCCCTCTCCCCTCACAGCCCTGTGGCTGCTGAGGGACAGGCTGGTGGCAAGGGAGGGAGCTGGGGCTTCGCTTCAGCACAGTGACCACAAGCACTTGGATGGGAGCCTGCAGCAGCAGAGGAACTGCCCAGCACCACAAGCACACGACGAGCACACCCGTGGTTTTCCTGCCACCTGCAGTGACAGTGCTGCCAGGACCCTGCAAAGCACCAGGGACGTGGCTGGGGAGGGCTCAGAGGGCATTTCCAAAGCTCCTTGTTATGGATTCTGCCAGAGATGCTGCAGAGGAGTGGGCAGGGGGAGGAGAGCAGGAGTCCAGGGAGCAGCCCACCAGGGTCAGCTCAGACCAGCAGCCCACAGCCTGTCCACATCCTGTACTGGCTCTGTTCTGGCACAAGCCCTGATCCCACAGGCAGGGCAAGGCTGCCAGCAGCCAGTGTCACAGCAGGGCACACACCCAGAAAGCAGAAGTTTCTGCAGGCCCTTTTCACCTCTCTCCAGGGCGAGAAGGAAATCCCGGTTCCTCTGGAGCTCCTTCATGAACTCCTCGTTCTGCAGGAAGAGGGCGATGCGCTCATCCTCCAGGTACTGCTTCCAGCGCCGCTCCTGCTCCAGGGAGCCCTGGCCCCGCGGGCCCAGCCCCCGTGGCACGGGCTGCCGGCAGCCGTGCGAGCCCTGCGGGAGGAAAACGTGCCACAGCCTGGGTGCTGCTCTCGGGGGTCCCTGCAGCAGCACCTCGGGCTCAGCTCGGCCTTTTGACCCTCTGTTACTCCCCTCCTCCTCTATCCAGGTCCCTCCCTCCTCTATCCAACAGCCCAGGGCAAAAGGGGGGACAAAGGGGGACAGGACATCACTGCCCCTTTGGGAACGGGGATAGGGCAGAGGGGATGGACATCCCACACGGGAACCTTTTGGAGTCCTTTTGCAGAGCACAGGCTGGCACAGATTTTTAACTTTAAACCACGGGGTTGTGGCATAGCAGAACCTGGTGTGGAGGCACGAGAAGGGGCTCTCTCCCATCTCTAGAGAGCAGAGTCCTGATGACAAACATCCCTGCACAAGGCACGTCACACCTCACACCTGGGGAGCAGCACAGCCTCATCCCTGCCTACAATATTTATCTGATTTGTAGCTGCTCCCAGAGAGCCATAAAAAGCAAAAGCACACAATTACTGGGGGAAGAAAAGGGCAGCTGCTCCTCTCCTCCCCCTGAGCCCAAATGAATTGGCACACTCCTATTCCCAGAAAGGTAATAGAGCCCGTGAAGCTCAACTTGCAGGGCAATCATTCATGAAAACGTGGCGGGCTGCCTTTGGAGATTAAATGGGAGGGAGGAGCAGAGTGCCTGCAGCCCTCCCAGTCCCTCACCATGCCAGGAGGATGCTGGATCCATTTAGGGGTTCCTGTGTTAGCAAAGGGATGAGAGAGGCCCCAAATTGTGGCGTGCCTGGAGCTGAGCTGGATGCCCAGCACGTGTTAGGGCTGCTTATTCCCCATAAAATGCTGCCCATTGCCTGCCCTGCTGCTGGCACCCAAACCTTGTGGCTTAAAACAATCAGAGAGCACACATGGACCCTGATTTCCCAGGGGCAAATCCTCTGGCTTGCACTAGGTTTCCCACCCAAATTCCACTGCAGCAGCACTCAAGTGCACTGGCACTCTCCTTAGGAGCATTACAGGTCCTGCTGCTCCTCACCAGAGCAGCAGCCAAGACTTTCAAAGAATTGAAAATATTAGGAGCTTATGGTAAGTGGCATTTCTGGCACTAATCACTGGGATAATGGCAGGAAAAATATCAAAGCTTTGCTGAGAGCTCATTCACACCTTGCCCACTTCAGTCTCTTGAACAGGACAAAACTTTTGTTTTAGCCCACACCTGGTACCCAGATGCTTCCAGCGTGCTAATGCTTCAAGCTCAGGGTGGCTGAAGACTGGGATGGTGCTCCACGGGCTGGAAGGGGTGTGCTGGCTGTCGTGCTCACCTGTGTGCTGGCTGTCTGCTGGGGCAGGATGCGCAGGAAATCCTCGGGGAGGTTGCCCAGGAGCGGAGGGTTCCAGTTCCTGTAGTGGCCGGTGCTGCCAGGGCCGGGCACGTCCGTCCTGCAGGACAAACGCACCTCCTTTGGTGAGGAGAAACCCACCAACACCTGCCATGGCAGCGTGGCACAGGGCCTGGCACAGCAGAGCCTGTCCAGCTCCACCAGCAGTGCTGGAAACCATGAAACCCCATCCCCGAACCTGCAGCGTTAGCACCAGCTCTGGAGAGTGAAAGGCTTTCCTAAAATGTTTGGAATCTCTGGGAGCTGCATTTCAAGCCTTGCCCTGCAACTCTGCATGCTGGGTTTTATTTCTGCTCCCTGTTTCACTCAGACTCCCAAAAACCAGCCTGGTGGAGCCCCAGCACTGCAGGGGTTTGCCTACAAAGCTGACAAACGTCTCTCAACAGATGTCACACCCAGCCTGCACAGGGGGCAGGAGCTGGCACAGAGGTACCCAGGACTCACCCTTGCTGTCCCACAGCCCCACACCTACAGGCAGAGCAGTGCTTCCAGGGGGCAGGTGAGAGCCAGCCGAGGTGTGGGGTGAGGAGCCAGCACGGGGCCCGACTGCCCAGCACCTGGTGTTTTCCAGCAGAGGCGAGCACTCCCCACCCCCAGGAGCTGATTTTTGCCATTCCACACGCTGCTGCCAGAGCAGCTTTCCGGCCCCTCAGCTGTTCGTGTTTTAAACCCTCCCAGGGATTTCTGAGCCAGCTGTGAGCTTCATTCATCTCCCTTGGCTTTGTCTCACTCGACCCTATAAGGAACAGGGCCAGCCGGCTGTGCCAGGGCCAGCCTGAGCCCAGGGTGCCCCAGGAGCAGGAGCTGTGCGGGGCTGGGGCTCACCTGGGTGGAGGGGTGGGTGGGGCACGGGGGTAGCGGCTGCCCAGTGCCTGGCTCTCGTAGGCAGGAGGGGAATACACAGGAGGGGGCTCCTCATCCGAGCTGTCTGGCTCCAGGGTCCGCTCCAAGATCTGCAGGGTGAGAGGATGGGGTGAAGGAAATGCTCCTCAGTGAGCCAGGGCTCCACGTGCAGCAGCAAAACAGGGATGGCCAGGGTTGAATGATGGTGCAGAGAGGATGGGGAAACCTGCTGGCACAGGACCTCCTGCACCCAGGGGGGTTTTGGTGAAGTTTGGAGGTACTGCCTTCAAGGGAAGAGGGTGGGTGAGCCTCTCCTTGGGTGCACACAGCCCCGGGGAGCCTCTCTGACAGCAGCAGAAGGGTCTCTGTTGGGTTTTGGGGCAAGGGAGAGAGGGGAGAGCACTTGCCTTCAGCCTAAAGCGCTGCCCAAGACAATCTTTGGTGCAGCAGCCCAGCTGATCCGGGCACTCAAACCTCTGCCAGCCTGCAGAGCAGTTGAGTAGCACCGTGCCCAGGCAGGACGGAGGCAGGATGAGACTGAGGTGAAGGCAGGAGGAGACCCCCGGGCAGGTTACCTCGGGGGGGATGCTGTCCTCCGAGTCCGAGCTGTCGTCGCAGCCGCTGCCGTCCAGGTTCATCTGCAGGAGCTGGTCGATGGTGGCGTCCACGGCGCCGTTGTTGGCTCTCAAGACACACTCGATGATGTCGTAGTCCATGTTGGGGAACATGGTCTTGAAGTCCTCCATGGCCTGGTTGAACTCCAGGCGCCGCACCTGCCTGGCGGGGCGGCTGTTGTTGAGCTCCTGGGCGGAGGAGCCGCCGCGGGAGCCGCCGTTGCTGCTGCTCCGGCGGAAGAGGCTCGTCATGGTGGGGCTGCTGCTGCTGCTGCTGCTGCTGCTGCTGCGGGGGCTCGGCGCTGTGCCCGTGCCCCTCCTCACGGGGGGCTGCCCCGGCTGCCAGCCGGGACCATGGGTGGGCAGCGAGGGTCCCGCGCCTCAGCCCCCGGCGCGCGGCTGCATCCTCCCACCTGCGGAGGGGACACGGGACAAAGTCACCCCGGGGGACAAAGCCACCCGTGGCACAGCACTCCCCTCCCCGTGTCAGGTTCCATTCCACCCATCCCACGGCATCCAGGTGGGACTGAGCCATCCCTGCAGCGGGCCCGGTGGATGTGCCGTGCCAGGAGCTGTACCAACAAAATGCAAGGCAAGAAAAATGGCATTACTTCCACTGCTGAGGGCTGCCCAGATTGAACGTTTCCAGGTTTGACATGTATTTATAAACACAGTAAAATCACTCTTTAAAATAAAACATGGAGTCGGCTCAGGGAGTGTCAGAGCAGGGGGCTAAAATGCTCTGCAGCACTGCAAATCGACCCTTTGGAAAAGCCACCAAATCCAAGATTAACATTCACTTTAAAACCATAAACAGATTATACAGCTACCGCTCCTCGTTTGAAAATGCAGGGCCAAATTCAGTTCTGGATTAACTCCACTGTTTGAAACGGAATTACCCCAGGAACACTTTTGATCCATAATATCATTTTCAAAGGCTTTTTCCTAAGCGGCAGGCAGAGAGTTCAGGATAACTGTCCCTAAATGGTATTTAACGCAGAAGAACGTGCCAAGCACATTTCTTAGCGAAATGGTATAATCAGATTCCAAGCCATTAAGAGGAGCAGTCACCTCTGAAGGTCACCTGGGCTCTCCCCTGCCCAGCAGGACCGTGTGTGACAGCCATGTCCCCATTGCTCGGCCCCTGTGCCAGCCCATAGCCCTGAGCTGCTCCGAGGGGTTCCCAGGAGCTTCTAGAGGCTGCTGAGAAAGAAACACACCTGCAGCACTTGGGGAACTCAGTGGGAACTCGGGGAGAATTCACTTTTTGCCACACTGCTTTACCTTCATCCCCAGGGACAGCGCTGCTCTGGCTCAGTACCAGAGGAATCACGGGGATGATTCCTGCTCCAGGCACGCTCTGCTCTCCTTCCCTGGCTTTTTTGTAATCCTGGAAGCATTTGCATTTGGATGCACCACAACAGTAGCCCTGTGCTTACACCAGCACCCACCCGGGGCTGAGCACAGTGCCCAGGGGGCATCCATTGCCACCTTCCTGTGGAATTTGCTCCCAGGCAGGACAGGAACCCAGGGAAAAGCAGCAGGACAATTACTGTCAGGCACAAGGGGCCATTTCCAAACAGCACCAGGAGCCCCCCAGCTCGCTCCTGCTCACTAATAATATCCATTTAACTGGTCACTCAGCCAGGAACTGTCTCCATCCCAGTAATTCGGAGTCCCCAGGATCAGCTTGGCAGGAGCAGCGCTGTGCGAGCAGAGCAGGAACAATTCCGACAGCTCTGCCCGGCTCTATTCACTGAGGACAAATAAATCCGCTGGAGTCAATTAATAAAACACTGCTGCTCAGTTCCTCCTCCGCTCCCCTGACTCATTCCCAGCAAAGAGCCCGCATTGTTCACACCTCTGGAATTATACTTTAATTGCAATATTGCATGGCTGGTTTAGTCACGTATTAAATTGAGTTGTAACACATTCACAGGCTACACACCTCCTTACAAGATTTGGCTACTCTAAAAGAATGGGGAACGAGCCTGGACACCCACGGGAACACAGTTTATACTGGATACACACACATACAATCCACGGATGGAGATGAGAGTTTCTGTGGAGAACCATTAGCTCAGCAATGCTGTGCCAGCCCATTAACCTCAAATAGCAAAATAACTCCCCAAAACCAGGCTGGAAATCCCCAGATCTTCATAAAGTAACCAAAGCACCCGTGCCTGGGGAATCTTTGTCTCCCAGCATTTGACATTTGAGTGTGTATTTAAAGGCTTCCCTGTAACCATGAGGGCCCAGGGCTGTGCCAGGCACTGGCAACGTCCCTGCCAGCCCTCTGGGCTCCTATTGCAGCACCAGCTCTGGGGAGGTGTTAGTAAGCACCACATCAGAGTCTGGGACAGCTCCCTGCAGTGCTGAGCCATGGAAATCTTCTGGTCAGAAGATGAACAAAATTAGGGATGGGGACAAGATATTTTACACCAGAAAGGCTCTGCTGCACATCTGGCTTCAAACAGTCCCAAGGGAATGTTTTGGGACCTTCCCTGCCCTGAGGATACACTCCAGGAATTCGGGGCTGGCAGGGCACAGACCAGGGTAGTTGACATGCCCTAAAGGCTTTTAAATCTATTTTTCAAAGTCCTGCTGCTAATCCAAAGAAATGCAAATCACTACATCAGCATGAGTTAAAATCCAAGGAAAAGCAAGTGGCCCTGTTGGCAGGAGTTGATTTAAGAGATCCACAGGTATCTGTATCTTCCCCAATTCCTGCGTGTGCAGCAGCGTGTTCAGGTGGGCAGTGGGGAGGGCAGCAGGACCCCGCTGGGGAAGGGGTTCAGCATCTTCCTGGCCTTTATTTCTGCGATGTCAATGAGAAGGGAAGATGCCAGGAAAAGCAAAATCCTTCGGATTTCCCGAGAAGGAAAGAAGAAACTGATGTGTGACTGCAGCCCATAATCCTTCACCCTTCTGCCCATCACAGGAGGAGCTTAAAGGCTTTGCAAGCTCCTGCTCTGCGTGTCCCCATCCCACAGGTCGCAGAGAGCAGGGACACTGGTGTGCCTGGCACTGCCCCTGTGCCCCCCCTGCCCTGGCAGCACAGGATAAATCCTCCTGTCCTGGCACTGCCTGGTCCTGGCTCGCCCTGGCTGAGCCTCCTCAGCATCCAGCAGTGGTGGCTGTCCTGACACTGTCCTGTGCCATGGAGAAAGTGCCAGGTGACATCTCAGTGCCAGGCTGGGTTAGCCAGTTCTGGGTTAGGAAGGGCTGCCACAATGCCACATCCACACCAGTTTCTATCCAAGCACCTCAACACGCTGGGACTGAAGGCTGGCACTGAAAATGCTGTGTTTTGGTGTCACTGCCCAGCCAGGACAGCAAAGGACACTTTGCCACACACCTGCACAACAGCTCTCTCACTGCACACTGTGCTCAGGCACTGGCACACCTTTGGTACAGCCCTGTCCTCAGCTCACCACTCAAAACCATAAAATACAACCAAACACAAGCTGGCCCTGGGGGGCAGCTCCCCCCCTGCTAGCCCGGGGGTTCACTCTGCTCTTCTCCCACCCAAGCTGCCAGTGACTTCCACAATTCAGAGCCACCCTTGCCAGAGCCAAGGACGAGACCAGAGCCAGGAGAACAGCTCAGTCAGGTTCCTGAGAGGAACATCCTGCTGTGCCCCCAGCATCCTGCCTGGGCATGGCTGCTCTCACCCAGCCCCAGCAGCAGGCACTCAGAACCTCCCAAAAATGGGCTCTTCCCATGGAGGGGGCCCGAGGGGAAGCTCTGGAGCAGGCACAGTGTGAAGTGGAGGCTGCTGGCCCTCAGCTGCCCAGGAAGAGCAGCTGGATAATCCCAGGGGCTGGTCAGACCAGGAATGTGGTGCTGGAAGCAGCAGTTGCTCAGCTCCGTGAGGAACACGGAGGAGCCAGCAGCTGGAACAGCACTGGGACTGATCACTCACAGCCCTCTCTGCTCAGGGAAGAGCCTTGGCATGGAGTGCAAACGAGAATATTCCCTTCCCCAGTGTCTGCTGCGGCTCAGACAGCAGATGGGATTGCTCAAACACTGCCCAGCCCCTTCTCCCCTGCTACTGCCACGCCGGGTTTATGGGTCACCCCTGAAAACACGCCGGAGCTGGGACCCCCCTCTGCAGCCAGGATGGGGGTGACACCACCGAGTGCTGGGTCCCCCCAGCCCTCAGGGCACTCATCCCGTGGTGGCTGCAAGCCCAGGCCTGTGGTGCCTCAGCTGGGGATGCAGAACAGACGTGCAGAAGCATTTCCATGCACAGGATTATTTGGAGAAAAGGGCTGACAGCTCCTCCAGTTCCTGGAGGGAAGACTCTTGGAAGAAATCTCAAAACTCAAGGATGTTGAACTAGAAATAATGGCTCTGTCCAGAGCAGATGTGCTGAGTTCTGCAGCAGCCAGGCCCCTGCAAAGGGATTGCTCAATGTGGGAACAAGAAGTCTGGGAATGTGACTGCTCAGCAGCTGCAGGTGTGACTATAATAGGACTGAAACTGGGATGAAAAGTAAATGATCAGGAACAGAAATTATGCTATTCTCTACCACCAAACATGCCAAGGATGTGCAGGATGGGCCCCTACCAGTCTCTCCTAAATCCCCTTGTCACCTTCCTCTCTGTGCCTCAGGGGATGCTGTGCACCCCTCCTGGGCCCACAGCCTGGGAAAATTGCTCTGAGCAAATCCTTTTTCATGGAAACAAATAAGCACCTGAGGATCTCCTTTAATACTTGTTCTACCGAGTATTAAAATGGCTGGGTTTAAGCCCTTTTCAAAAGCAAAAGCAAAAGCAATCAGGGAGGCGAGCACAAGTAAGCCCTGCTTGTGAACCTGTGCAGCACGTACCTCTCTGCTACAGGAAATTCCCAATTCCCCTCTGGGCTCCGAGGGCAAGTGCAGAGGAACCGGGAGAGCCATGGAGTGATCCCAATCCCGGCACCATCAGCATTCCTGCCCAGGTAGTCTCACCTGACTGCTGTACTGGGGAGCCCACGGACGCTGCAGCACTCTGAACACTCAATATCCACATTTCAGAGATGCAGCAGTGGCTGCTGCTGCCTCGGGGCACCCACTGCTCTCCCACCACAGCTCGACAGATTGATGGCAGCCCTTTGTGAGCCGACCAGATGGTGGCCCTGCACAGCACCCAGCTGGCTCCTAAACCACCACCACCCCGATAAAACCCGGGGGGACACGCTCAGCTGGGACCAGAGAGCCAGGCAGGGCTGCACTGGGGACCCAGAGCACCCACCTTCCCCGGGAT